ACTTGCGATATTTTTAAAATTTGGATTTTTGCACCGAGCCACCCGCCCGAAAGGGCAACTACTCGGTTGGCATCCATTCCTTTCCTTTTTGCTCCTTCCCATTGTATGCGAACGTTTGGAAACAGCCACCTCAGAAACTCCTGATTCATCTCAAAGCTCCACAAGGGCAGCTTTTTAGTTAATTGAAAACTGTTTTCAAGACAAGAGGTGAACATAACTTTAGGACAAAAGATTATCCCATATATGAATCACGCTGTTTACGTGGTGGCTTAACGTCTCAGACCGGTGAGCAGATCGAACTTATTTCACTGAGTGCTTAGAAAGCGGATTGGAGAAATCCACACAGTTGTTTTCATATTTTAATGTCATAATGGGTTATTTTTGTTTCTCTTTGATGTTCCTCTAGAACCAAGCACTTTTTATCTCTTCTCAACAACGAAGATTTACAAAACACGTCAGCAAAAGGAGAGGGTGGTGAAAGAAGAGTGCCGGCTGAAAAACCTTCATTAATGTCCACCAAAGCTCTAATAGAGAGGACTCTTAGCATGAATCAAAAGCACATCCTTTGATGGATCCAGGTGGACGAATCCTTCATGAGAATATGAGGGGTGAAACCGCAAAAATGGAGTGTGCAACGTTTTCGACGCGAGGAGGGCGCTAAAGCCGCATCATTGAAGCCGCACTGAACCTGGATTGCTTCTCGCGATGCAAGTACACAACCTGCACTGCAGGTTGTCTGCGTCTTGCCTGGCCCCATGCTATCTCACCAATTCTCTCGCTTAGATGACCGAGGGTCTCTTCGGCTAGTCATGCCCACCGCCCAGGAAGAGAATCGTTCTTGATGTATTCAGGGGCTTCTTCTAGTTCTTGTCACTTGCGTTGTTGGGTTGGCACTATGCAATAAACCTTACACCGGATTCAAATGTCAAGGCATCTATTTTTTTCAGGGTCGAGTATCCTGTAATTTTCCCAAGAAAACTTTTTGGCGGATTAATGGTGTATTTTTTAGTAATTTTATCAAGCATATAAAAGAGGAAAAATTTGAAGAAAAAAAGGCTCATTTTCAAATCCTTCGTGGTATTTGTTCTTCTCAATATTTCGGTAGATTTCATGGAAAGAAGCTTCAATCAATACACGAATTTCCATTAACAAGATTTTCTTGAGATGACGGTGGGATAAATGTCAGCGACGAGTGAATTGACATTAAAACTCTATTAAGGCTTTTTACTAGAAGCTTCTTAACGTCAGAACTTTCTCACGTGTAAGGATGAAAGGATTATGCCGTCAGTCGTTCCCGTAAATTAAAAAGCTTTCTCTATGGGGTGGAAAAGTTACACAAAAACTTCCGCGACTCAGATTTTTTCTATGGATTCCCGTCATGAGGGGAAAAGGAACTATTATGTCGCTAATGAACGGGAATAGGCAACAGTTCGACGTCAATTGTCCTCCATTCTATCGTAGATGTTGCAGTGTACAAGGGATCCGAAAATGCATTGATCCTCTACATTGAAAACCGAATTAGTTACACTTCGCGTAAGCTCAGACTGAATGTTCCCAACTGAAAAGCAAGGCGCGCATTACAGCCTATCAATGGACCTCTTAGTAGCCTTCTACCTCGTCGCCATTAGATGAATTCCCCACGAGAACATGGTACACCGGTCGACCTAAATGAGGTTCAATAGATCGTGATCCAATTACAGTTTTCTTGAAACGCTGGCCGGGAGGGGGCTTGCACAGTCAGGGCTAATGTCCCTAGAAAGCCATTCAATACTCTTCTCCTTCGCCTCCTTTGCGTTAGACCCGCGCATTGGCAGGATTCGCTTAGAGAGCCGCCAAAAAACCGAATGAAGAAGTTTTGTAGCAGCTTGCGGAGGACATGACGATAATGGGGTGGAGTCAGCCTTGAGCTTGCGGCGAATGGCAGATAAAGTCCCCTTCGAAACGTGAGGGTAGAAGGACGAAATGCTCTGTTAATGAAGAACAATCTACGGATACATTTACCGTTCAAAATTTTTCAATAAACTACGGCAACCCTCCGTCCAGCCCCTGTGGCACGTCAGGGGTGCGACGCTATGAGATCCAGAATGACCTTGTTCGCCATCCCATCCCCCCTCCGCTCCGCAGCCATCGCCTCGGGGTTATGCAGTAATCTTCGCGACTGCCCCCCCCCCAAATATGTATCCACTGACCATTCATAAAATCTATCACTAATTCTCCACAACGCCCAAATAGATCTCCGCTAGGATCGGTAGAAATAACCAAGCGTTTTGCGCCGAATTGAATATATATGTAATCCACAAATATGCTGGTTTGACAAAACTTTCGCCCCAGGCGGGACTATCACCCGCATCATACGCACGGGGCAACATTTCATCCAACTTCAGGCTTCTATGCTATGTCAATATTATCGTTAGAAATAAAGTCTTCGGGATAGACATCACAGCGAACAGGAACCGAGCAGTCCCACCGAAAACATTTGAATTGTGTGTATACTCTTTTAAAAGGTGAATAGCGCCACGGCGAAGTAAATGCAGTTCGCGCCTAAGTCGGTTCGGACAACCAAACGTTTCCGCTATTGTCAGTTTCGAATGAGTTTACCTTAATTTGTTTATTTTTTCCAGAATTTTCTTGGCCCTTATTCTTGTTAGCCGTTTCGTATGGATTTGAAGCTTAATCTAACAGAGCTTATACTTCAGTTACTTAGATATTTGAAAAATTACAATCCTGGTATCTTTGTTAGGGAATTAAGACGTATATCCAACCCATCTTAGGGTATGGTCCAGATGTTTTCTTTGGCCCATTATAAAAACTGTAACCATCATAGTAGCAGCCAGAAATTTATGAACAAACGGTTTTTTCATGATTTCTCTTTGAAAGTCACTGGAACGTCTCCAAATTTGCAACAATTATTAACTACGTGTTTTATGATCCACACAGAAAATTTCAACCTTCAGCTCAAATTTGGGTTTAGAAAATTTTAGATTTTTCGAAATTAATGAAGGCAGGTGAAAGATCACTTGATCCGTTTATTTGATTTAAATAATGTATAACCCAACAGAACAGTCAAGTAAACAGTCACTAACATTAAGCAAGTCTAGCACATTGCCCAGAACTCTCTAAAGTATTGGATACATAAACTGGATTTGAATGCGGGGTCAACTAATGAACTCACTCTCTAGTGGGTCTCTCTCTCTGTAGTCTCGCCTCTTCGTGGCTCTTTCATTGAGATACGAATCCGTAGGTCCTAGTGGTTCTGTAATGTTTGGCTCAGGAGTCTGGCCTGGCTGGTCTTTTAAAAGCACCCCATGCTGTCGAAACCACTCCTGCATGTGAGAGGCCCGATGCTTTGAGTCGCTGCTCTGCTGACAGACAAAGCCAGGTCGTGTGGCAGCCATGTCTACGGATACATGACACCTTCCAAAACATGACAGCAACGTCTGCCTTCATCGCTACCTCAGTCGTGTAGCGTGGTCCCACTTTTTTCCAAGGCAACCTTATCAAGCCTCCGCCAAGTTTCACAATTGGCAGCTGATTCTTTGGATCAAAACGTTCCCTCTCGTGGTGCCGTACATTACTAGTATCCTTGCTGTCATGCATCAGTAATATGTTTTTGTCATTCCAGATGACCTTAGAAACCTGTGTCAACCTTCGTTTCAGGACTTAGTCAATCACATTCTACTCCCACCCACTTCACAGCGAGCGCTCTTCTTAGACTTTGAGAACTAAGGAATACGTAGTATAGACTTAGATTCTAGAAGATGTTATGTATCCGTAGACATGGCTGCCACACGACCTGGCTTTGTCTGTCAGCAGAGCAGCGACTCAAAGCATCGGGCCTCTCACATGCAGGAGTGGTTTCGACAGCATGGGGTGCTTTTAAAAGACCAGCCAGGCCAGACTCTTGAGCCAAACATTACAGAACCACTAAGAGGAGGACCTACGATGCGTATCTCAGTGAAAGAGCCACGAAAAGACGGGACTACAGAGAGAGACCCCACTAGAGAGTGAGTTCATTAGTTGACCCCGCATTCAAATCCAGTTTATGTATCCAATACTTTAGAGAGTTCTGGGCAATGTGCTAGACTTGCTAATGTTAGTGACTGTTTACTTGACTGTTCTGTTGGGTTATACATTATTTAAATCAAATAAACGGATCAAGTGATCTTTCACCTGCCTTCATTAATTTCGAAAATCTAAAAAAAAATTTAAACCCAAATTTGAGCTGAAGGTTGAAATTCTCTGTGTGGATCATAAAACACGTAGTTAATAATTGTTGCAAATTTGGAGACGTTGCAGTGACTTCAAAAGAGAAATCATGAAAAAACCGTTTGTTCATAAATTTCTGGCCACTACTGTAATTCTTGAGGCTGTTCAAAATAGCCTCACTAGGAATATTTTAACTCGTAGATTGGGTTTCAACTACGATGATACACCTCATGGTTTTGCTAGGAATAAGATGCTAGGTCTTTAATCCCCTGTAGAAGGAAGAAATTGGATCCGATTACAGTTTATAAAATCATCACAGGCAATTTTTGATAAATAGTAAAGGCTCCTTCATCCCTCTTCCGTCCCACACCAGAGGAGGTAAGTTCAAACTTTTGCTTACTAAATTCAAGACTGGTATTAAGATTAAATTCTTTTGAGTGAGGATTTTTTCGCAACTGAACAAAGTTACCAAAAATTTGCAGTGCCTAGAAGCCTTGCACAGTTGAAAATAATGTGTACTCCCTAACACTACGATTTACTCGGGAGGTTGGCTACTCCGAATAACCCTGAACCCTACTACCATGAAATTAGTTCTATTTCTTTCTTTCTTTGTTTTCTCCATTCTTTCCTTACCTTTTTTGTTCTGGTCTTTGATGATCGGAAACTATCTTATCACTGGTACTCTTCACTGACTTATTTCTTTTAAATATTAATAATTTCGTATTTTTTATAAGTTCAACTGAAAGGCAAATAGCGTTTGTCAACTCACTGATTTACATACACAAAGTATGTACGGGCAGCTTGGTGCGTGATTCTTCAGGATCACTTTCTCTCCGTGACCTTCACATTTTCGACAGTACAGCACTCGTGTCTTCACCGGATTCGGCATCGGAGATGCTGACGGTGCGCCGAGTTCCGGCGAAGAAGTATCCAACGTAATGACGATCGGTGGCAGCATTTGATCACTGGGTGTCATTGCAGATGACAGTTTCTGTAATTGCAGAATCATTAGAGCAGATACTGTTTAGGGAACGATGAGGCTCCGCCGATGAGCCAACGCCACTTAATGGATGAGGAATGACGAAATGAAATCAAGGAGAACAAAATGGAGGGGTAATTCTATAGAAATGAGAACTGAGCTACAACTTGGCA